TGTGTGTGTGTGTGTGTGTGTGTGTGAGAGTGTGCCTGTGTGTGTGTGTGGGCATGCGGTTGTGTTTGGAGTGGGGAGGGCGAAGCGGGAAAGGGTGCGGGCGCATGAGGGTGCGTGGGGGTGTGTGCGAGCTTGCGTGTGTGTCCATGCACGTGTGAGAATGTTCTAGTCGCGACAAATCTTCTTTTTTCATTGGAGGTCTTCCTGATTGCTAAGGTTGATATGAACTGGCGGACTGTGGAGTCCTGTGTGTGGTGTGGGCGGGAGATAGTTTCCTATCCTTTTATTTTGACCCGAATTCCAGATGATAGCTTGAAGTACTGGTAGGGGGCTCTACATACTGTCAGGGTTCTGCCTCCTCGTGAGTCCATGAATGCCAAGAGAAATGCTCTATCACAACCCCTTGTTTGTCCATTTCTCCCTTTCATTAGCCACTCACCAGGCAGCCCTTTTTGTTTTTTTTTTTTGGGAGGGGGGGGGCAGCAGCTCGTTTACAAATTACCCTGTTCCAACTATTGACACATATTACATTCGAAAAGTGAAGAGATGAGACTGCGTTGAAACTTGAAACTGATTACAAGACCCAAGTAAGCAGGGGTGAGGGGTGTGGAAGGTGGTGACAGGCATGTTGAAACTGCGTTTTTGAAGTTTTTTCGCTTTTCTTGGGCCATTTCTCGATTTATGCGTGTCATCCTTGCCCATTCCAATTTTAATAGATGTCCCAAATGCAAGGAAGATGAGCGATAGTGAACTTCAGAAATCAAACAGCATCATACACATAAGACCAGATAGTCGTGACCTCGAACCAACAGCAGAATTGCATCACGAGTTTCACCAAATAAGAACACACCAAGAGCTCATAATTGACAATGCTGAAATAGTCTCATCATCATCATCAACGAAGAACCAATGTTGATATCCTATCTGGCGCTCGGCGCCCAGACTACAGATGGCAGATCCTATCTAGCCTACTCTACAATGCCGCCGGATGACGTCAACAGCTTCACCGAAGTACGAGCAGATCTCGGACAATGTCGTCGCTTCTAGTACCAGGTATGTCTCTCGTATCACTCACAACCTTGTTCCCCAACTCACAGATGCCACTTGCACCCAAGGACCACCCTGCGCCCCATCCAGCTTATAGCAGCGCAGCTCGGCTATGGCTGCCTGCTCCTTCCAGCACGCCCGTGAGCGCGTGAGCCTGGCAGGCGATAGCGCAGCAGCGCTTGCGCACAAAGCAGCCAGTGCCCGAATGCCACCAGCGTGGGCTGGCCCTTTCCTATATGGAAAATGGCCAGCCTGTGTACGTGTGCAGCCTGGCTGTGCTGGGCCTCTGTCCAGAAGCTTCCGGTAGGCCCAAGGAGGCTGAGTCTCAGACCAAACGAATTGGCCCAGGGCCACCGACAGTTACCTGTGCCCAACTGCCCACAGCCTCAGTTGGGCCTATGCTGCGAATCTCGCCCAGCGCCTGAATCAGATTCATTTGATAAAAGGAACCAGGGCCTGGGCGCTTCCAACCAACTGGTGGTGCGCAACTGCCTGAATTTTCCCCAGTTGTGAAGTAGTCCAAAATAGGCCTCTTAAGGTCCATCGGGCCTGCCTTCACTTAGGGCGGCCGATGCTGTTGCAAATAGGGGCCCAGTAGGGCTTATCGAGGCCTTGTGCCTCGCATTCCCTCCTCCATACTTCGCTAGTCCTCTGAGAAGTTCAGTCTTCGATAATCTGGCGCTTTCCTTTCCGTAGAGACTTCTCATAGTGAGCGACTACCTGTGGAGCGGTCTGCATCAGTTCCTCCCTTGTGAACCATCTGTCCTCCTTTGGATCAAAGTGATGTCTGAACCGAACTCGATACTGCAGCTTCGGTTTTGGAGGACGTCCTCTGCCTATTGGTCTTGGAACTGGCATCTCCCTGTGGTCAACGATGTTGTCGATGTCGACCTCTCCATCCATGGTTGGGGGCAGCATAGAGCGACGAGAGGGAAACTGGTCAGCTTCTTTGAATGGTGCAAGCTTAGAAGCGTGAAAAACAGGGTACGTACGTAAGTGACCAGGGATGCGAATAACATAAGACGGTCCATCCGGTTCATTCCCAACAACATCCAGAATCTCCCATGGTCCAAAGTATTGTGGCATGAGCTTGCGGGAGATCCCGTGCTCCTGTCCCTGTTCTGAGGACTTGACCCAGACTCTCTCTCCTACCTGGAACGTGGATGGGCGGCGGTGTTTGTTCTCAGACTCTATCATCGCCGCCTGTGTCTTGTGCATCTGTTCAACAGCCTGCTGCATCAGCTGCTCATATCGATAAGCAAACTCTAAAGTACCTGGTGCAGCAGAGGGCTGGTTTTCAGGTAGTAAGAAATCCAAGGGCAGTCTAGGCTTAAAGGTTAATAGCAAACTATTCGGGCTCACGCCCGTTGCGCTGTGGACCGCGTTGTTGTACAGGCTGGCAATGAGAGCAAATTTCTCATCCCAGTCTACCTGATTTGGCTTGATGTAATGCCTCTGCAGGTGTTGTACAGCGCGGTTCAACTGTTCTGCTTGTCCATTCGCCTCGAGATGGTTTCCTGATGTCATCTGCAGCTGCGTTCCCTGCTCTGCAGCTGCAGCTTTCCACAGTTCATTTGTGAATCGCACATCACGGTCACTGACTATAGACTTTGGCAATCCAAAATATCTAACCCAGTTCTCTTTGAACAGTTTAATCACATGCTCAGTCTTCGCTGTCTCCGGCATTGCAACTAACCTAGCGTACTTACTAAACCTATGCACGATAACAAAGATGTGTCTCATTCCGCTCTTGCTGGTGACCAGCATGTCCATGAAGTCCATAGACAGGCTCTCACCGTGCCTTTCTGGAATCGGAAGGGGCTTGAGGAGCCCAAGAGGGGCCTGTGTACGGGGCTTGTCTCTCTGAAAGACCTGACAAGTCTCCACGTACAGCTTAGCATCTCTCATCATCGTGGGCCGCTAGAACCGCTGCAGCAGATTGGCTGCAGTCGTTTTGAAACCAAAATGTCCCGTGGCATCATGACACTCACCTAAAAATAAACCACACAAAGACTCCTTATCTGGTACACACAAACATTTATTTCCTGCCTTCTCAGGAACAACGGTCCATTGACCAACTCAAACTTGGCAGAAGTCGCTTTGTCCTTCGCCTCGAGTCTGCGTATGATCTCAGACATAAACCGGTCCTCGCGATAGGATTCCACCATAGATTGAGTAACATCGTCCGCAAGCCCAAACTCAGTGATCAGCGCACCAGAGAAATCTGGTCTACGCGACAACGCATCAACAACCTTATTATACTCGCCCTTGATGTACTGGGGCTCAAAGTAATATTGCTCTATGACTTCAATCCAACGCTTCAGAGCGTCGGAGAGCACAGGCTGGGTTCTCATTCACTTCAGAGTCTGGTGGTCAGTCCTGATGTAGAAGAACCTCCCAAGGAGGTAGTGCCTCCAATGGGTGAGCGCCTTGTAGATCGCATAGAGTTCCTTCTCATAGGTGGACTTAGCCAACTTCTGAGAGGGCATCTTTTTGGACATGTACTCTACAGGCCTCAACTTTTTCCCCTCCTACTGTGCAAGTACGGCGCCTATACCATATTGGCTAGCATCCGTAGTTACTACGAAAGGCTTGTCAGGATCGGGAAGTTTCAACACCTCATGCTGCGTCAACGCATGCTTCAGATGTCTGAAAGCAGCCTCGCACCTGTCTGTCCACTCCCATGGAGTGTCAAGGCGGGTTAGATCAGTCAAAAGGGCGACAACTATGCTATAGTTCTGCACAAAATTGCAATAGTAGCCGGTCATCCCTAAGAAAGACCTCATCTCAGTCACAGACTGAGGACGCGGCCAGTCACAAATGCTGGCCACCTTCGCGTCATCGGGCTTTAATCCCTCCGCGAAAATCTCATGACCCAAGTACAAGACACGGGTGCGGCCAAACTCGCACTTCTCACCGTTGATCTTGAACTTGTGCTGACGCAGAAGACTAAGGACTTTGTCCAAGTGCGCAACGTGCTCCTCGACAGTCTTACTAAAAATAAGTATGTCATCGAGGTATACGATGACGAACTTATCCAAGTAGTCATGAAATATCCGATTCATAGCGTGTTGAAAGGTGCCAGGAGCATTGCAAAAGCCAAAAGGCATCACCACAAACTCGTACAGACCGTACCTGGTCTGAAAAGCGGTTTTGTGTTGATCCTCAGGCCGGATTGCAATCTGATGGTACCCGGACTTCAGATCTATCTTACTGAAGTACCGACACCCTTGCACTCTATCTAGCAAGTCATCGATGCGCGGTAGGGGCTCTCTGTTCTTGACAGTGATGACATTGAGGCCCCTATAGTCAATGCACATCCTAAGTGTTCCTTCCTTTTTCTTCGGTACGAATAGGACTGATGAACCATAAGGAGAAACACTCGGCCGGATCCAAACCTTTTCTACGAGTTCCTTGAGTTGCCGACGTAGCTCATCAAGCTCGCCTGGAGACATCCGATAGATCCTACCCTTTGGGATGCTAGACCCTGGGATAATCTCTATCGCGTGGACGACCTCCCTCTCGACAACCCCTATAGGCTCTTCAAATAGATCAGGGTATTTAGTGACTACTCCCTCTATCCCCGACGACATTTTCACCGGCTCACCTGCAACAGAGACATAAACTAGATACATACTCTCCTCCTGATTTTGCTTATAGTAATTATAGAACGCGGCCGCACACATGCATCCATAGGACTCGATCAGACTACTAGCTGTGAACTTACGTAATCTGGCGGTCCCTCCACCTGACAAAGTGTGTTTGACCACTTTTCGGTCCCAGTCAAACTGGGGCTCTGCCACAGAGAGGTAGTTATACCTAACAAGATATCCATGGGGAGATCATCACTCACTAGGAACGAGACATGATGTCTCAGTTCCCCTCCCGCGTACGGAAAACAACACTCAACATCCTGGAGGTAGTCGTTGACTACCATGCGCTGTTTGTTGGCACAGGTCGACTCCACAGGTCGACTCAGGCGCTACACTTGCCCCTGTAAGCGCAGCCTCTCAACGCACGCGCGACTAATGAAGTTTCGTGTCGATCAAGTGTCATAATAGGCCCCGGCCTTGCGGCCGCCAATGACCACCTCGCTGACGAACATCTCACCCTTAGGGGCTTTGACTAATGTCGTGCAAGAAGCTAGCGGGTCTGATCTAGAGAGAGACGGTTAACGGGGCCCCAAATATTCGCCGTTTTTGTTGGCAATCGTGGTGCGAATTTCATCAATAATTTCAACAAAATGCCAACTTTTTCATTATTGATCTAAACATGTCAAAACTGCACACATGACGTACCCTAAAGCACATATATATCACACAAAAAGAAAAACAAGAAAAAACGCAAAAAATCAGCACAATATGACAGTTTCAGTGCAATTCGATGCAAAATTCGTCGAAAATAACACCCCTTAACCACGTGTGGATCTAGACCACTCCTCCTCTAGCTCCTCTAAGGACTCAAACACATTCATCGAACAGAGGCTCGATTGGTCTGAACGTGTTTGCGGGACGACGATGGAGTCAGTAGCTTGGGCCATCTCTCGAGATGGTGAGGGTGTATCCACCACCTCGACCCTAGCAGGAACAACTACTATTCCTACTGGCCCGACGTGTTTCCCGGAGCAGTGCCTAAAGTGCTGGCAACATTGCTACCGACGGAAGCGGAGGATCCTACCGCCTGCCCCATCGTAGGCAGGATCTTCTCGGTCACCTTTTTGTTACGGCACTTGAATTGGTTATGGCCATATTGACCACAACGAATGCAAGCTTGCTGGGTGTACCGGTCTCTCCACACGTCCTCAGTGAGACCCGCTTTCTCCCATGGAGGAGCGTTGGGGTCAACTTGACTCCTTGACCGGGAACCTCCTCGGCGTCTACCGGTCGCCTTTCCTTTCTGAGCTACGGCAACGACTCCTCCACCCTCTGAAGCTTCTAGGCTGCCTGCCTCTGAACCAACTCCCCGCCTGGAACTCGTCGTCCAATTCGATGGTGGAACCATCGTTGTCGACGAACATAATGCGGCCCTTTGACTTCCAGTTGGGAGGCAGTGTCTTCTTCTTACCATCCGTCATGGGATTATGTCCATGCCATATCTTTGCCTCCAGGTCGAGGGCCTTCTTGTTGAACGAGGGAAAGTTGTGCATATTGATGTTGGCCTCATCCGCCAACTGATTCCAAAGAGGCATGGGAAAGCATCTCAGGTAGGAGGTGAGTAAGACCTGGGGGTCATAGCGCACCCCAGGGACACAGATCAGACGCTCTGCAACGTCAATGGCTTCCCTTACTGACTTGAACTGCCTCGTGTGCAGTGTCAGGATCACGTCAGTGGCTTTCTGAGCCTCCTGAGGATCATGCCACTTGTCTTCCACCATCTTGAGAAAGTCCTCCAATTTCTGGTGGGCTGCCCAAGCGCGGAAGTCATGACCGTACCCCTGTAGTTGCACTAAACCACTCAACCATCGTACTGCACTTCCCTCTAGATAGGAGGCAGCCACAAGCACTTCCTCGTGCGGCAAGGTAAGTTTACATTTGACATAGACCGACACTGCCCTCAACCAAGTGTCGAGGTCTTCACCCCTCTTATCCCCTGTGAAGGGTTTAGGAGCAGCGATGGTCGTCTTTGGTACCCACCGACTTTGTCCCGGTCCCTGCATCACTCCGAGCTGTGGACCCTGTGGTGCAGGCTGCTGCACCGACTGCTGGGGCTGTGTACCCTGCTGCTGTGCAGGCTGCGAGACAGCAGGCTGCCCACTAACGGCAACCTGAGACGAAGTTTGGGAGAACACTGTCTGTACAGGAACCTGCAAACTAGGACCTGCCGAGAACCCTCCTGCTAACGGCATTCCCAGGGAAACGGTCTGGACCGATGTTGGAGCTGTATATGGGGACACCCCAGTCACCGGTGGGACAAAAGGAGGAGGCTGTACAACGGGCCAGGCACCAGGCCCGGACATCGATGGTGTTGCCTGCGCTCGCCCAACCAACAAGGCCAGACTCTGCTGAATGTCCTGAAGGAGAGTCGTCTGGTGGTCCTGCATTTCTACTACGTTTAGCAGGACATACCGCATGGTCTTCACATCATCACTCATGTGCGTCAGGTCCATCTCCTCTAACTCACCAACGTCCGCTTGCCTCCGATGCATCCTGGCTCTTCTTCTAATCATTCTTTCCTTCTCCGCTTTTATCTCTCCTAAAGCCTTCTGTAGTTGTGCCTCCTGCAATGCTGCCTGTTGTATAGTGATCTCATCGGAAGTCAACACTATTGGCTGGCTTGCCATGACGCCAGTGGACTGACTCAGGGTTTGTGCGACCGTTGACCCTACAGAACCTGAACTACCAACCTGAGAAGTCTGCTGCGCAGTAGTGGCCATGACTACTGAAATAGCGGTCTCGCTTGCGAATGCCCTGCTTGCTTCTGCGGACCTAACTCTTCTCTGCTGCTGCTGCCTTTCTCTCTGCTGGCGGAACAAATATTTGTCGCCCTCTGGTCCTAACGCCACATGGGCAATTGGGCGTCTTGCCGATCGTAAGATCCGGTCGTCCGGTTGTTGTACTTCTCTACCGCTCATAAGCTACAGTACTGAGCAGAATCTGCAATAGATTACTCTAGGTGCCTACCACAACGTAATGCCCAGACCAATTTTAAACCACCAGTACCTCTGCCAGTGTTGGGAAATTACGTTGTCCAGGCCAGTACCCGAAGTTTTCGGGGGTTGGACACAGGGTCGGCAATGTCCCAAAAATCGTAGTTTTCTTTTGCCCGTGCACAAAAGAAAAAGGAAAAAAAAAAGGCCTTTGTACTGCAATGATGTCGGGCAGGGTAGTCTAGGAGGCCGTGCTCACAGTCTTGAATGCATCGTACAACAAAGACGGTCACATTCTGAAACTTGTTGTTTGTTATGTGTCCCCTGCCAACGAGGCAGGGCGGAATCCGTGATCTGCTCTAGCTGTGTTTCCTCAGATGATTGTAGCCCTGATGTATCCAGCCGTTTTCAAGGCCGAATCCGTGTTTCCGTTTTTTTTTTCTTGTTTTCTTTTTCCGGAATCTGACAATCTGAGTCCGTGATCTGCTCGAGCTGTGTTCCCTCAGAGGATTGTAACCCTGATCATACTGGCACTTACGGGAATGTATCTTGCCATTTTCACGGCCGAATCCGTGTTCCTGTCTTTTTTTTTTTTTTTTGAGTTTCTGGAATCTGACAACCTGGCCACGAGGCCCAGATGCCCTCACTGAGGGCACACTCACACTAACACTTCCGAGAATGTATACAACTGCAATCACGCCCAGAGCTTTGTTTCGTTTTCTTGTTTTGTGACTTTTCACGGCCGCAACTTTTCTTCTTTTTTTCTTTTTTCTTTGTTCTTCCCGTGAGAGTACCATAAAGAAATGGAGTGGGACCCAGACTCGGCAAAACTCGGAGCGCAGTGAAAATCAGGGTCGGCAAAAACAAGCTCGGAGGTACAGGTGGTTTAAAATAAATAAATAATTAATTGGTGGCTATTTTGGAGTAGATACATTTGGGATCAACAGGTAAGTTCAAATTCTTACAAATGATACTATTCTACCTTGACTAGCTCGCACACAGAAAGCACGGTGAACAGAATCAGTTCTCAACTATGCTGTCTGTCAGATGTCGATGACAGTACATCTAGCTAATCAAAATAAAAATAATCATCATTTGTTGGGTCTGTTTGCAACATGGAATCTTACTCAAACTTATCACCTGGAATCTACCCCTTCCCCAATTCCCCTTGATTGTCACTTGACGTCAACGTCCCTGAGCAATCCGGTTTGGCGTGCGTGACTAAAGGTGTGCACACGGCCCACCCTTGTGCCCCGAGTAGCTGCTGAGTTGGCCAGCCCTGCACTGTGTTTATCCTCGCGTGCAATGAGCCTTACACCAATTGGCTGATCCAGAGGCAATTTAACGACCGCCCCCAAGTGTCATCAGGAATTATTTTACGCCGCAGCAGGACGACGATCACAGCCAATGGTTTCCCCAGTCGGTGTTTATTTATAGATGCCCGGTACTCGTCTCTCCCATAGGGCTGGCCTGCCCTTCAGTACCCCTCTATGAGCGCAGCAAGCAGACAAAGACAAAGCAACAAAGCATGCGTGCTCTACTCCCGATGGGTTGGCATGGTGACCGTGACCCAGTGCTCCGTCCAGGGCCCTTCAGAAAGCACCGCCCTCTCCTTCCAAATGCTCCACGTGAACAATGCCGACTCTCAAGGTTGAGCGCACACGACACCTCACATGAGAGGACTCTCAAGAAGGAACTCACATCCTTACGGTAAGAAGTGATGAAGAGGGTAGATAAGGTTAAGAGCAACGTACCTCGATATAGCTGCCCCCAACCACAGATATTCTCACCAGATGACCTGATGGCGATTGCGATGACCAGTCACTGCATCAGCACAACCAGCATTATCTCGCCGTTCCACCTCAGCATCAATCAACCACCAGATACTTCTCATCACACTGCGAACACCCAATATACACACCATAGCCTTCGTGGCGATCCCCTCCCCTCCTGGGTCGCCACTCCTTGTCTCCGCCCTCCTCACTACACACCGCCTACGGCCTCACTCACCAAGCAGACCACATGCAGGCAAAAGACAAGCGCCAGATGTGCGCAACGTACAACAACTCTGATACCAAATTGCAAGGAAGATGAGCGATAGCGAACTTCAAAAATCAAACAGCATCATACACATAAGACCAGATAGTCGTGACCTCGAACCAACAGCAGAATTGCATCACGAGTTTCACCAAATAAGAACACACCANAAATCAAACAGCATCATACACATAAGACCAGATAGTCGTGACCTCGAACCAACAGCAGAATTGCATCACGAGTTTCACCAAATAAGAACACACCAAGAGCTCATAATTGACAATGCTGAAATAATCTCATCATCATCATCAACGAAGAACCAATGTTGATATCCTATCTGGCGCTCTGCGCCCAGACTACAGATGGCAGATCCTATCTAGCCTACTCTACAATGCCGCCGGATGACGTCAACAGCTTCACCGAAGTACGAGCAGAACTCGGACAATGCCGTCGCTTCTAGCACCAGGTATGTCTCTCGTATCACTCACAACCTTGTTCCCCAACTCACAGATGCCACTTGCACCCAAGGACCACCCTGCGCCCCATCCAGCTTACAGCAGCACAGCTCGGCTATGGCTGCCTGCTCCTTCCAGCTCGCCGGTGAGCGCGTGAGCCTGGCAGGCGATAGCGCAGCAGTGCTTGCGCACAAAGCAGCCAGTGCCCGAATGCCACCAGCGTGGGCTGGCCCTTTCCTATATGGAAAATGGCCAGCCTGTGTACGTGCATCCTGGCTGTGCTGGGCCTCTGCCCAGAAGCTTCCGGTAGGCCCAAGGAGGCTGAGCCTCAGACCAAACGACTTGGCCCAGGGCCACCGACAGTTACCTGTGCCCAACTGCCCACAGCCTCAGTTGGGCCTATGCTGCGAATCTCGCCCAGGGCCCGAATCAGATGCATTTGATAAAAGGAACCAGGGCCTGGGCGCTTCCAACACACTGGCGCTGCGCAACTGTCTGAATTCTCCCCAGTTGCGAAGTAGTCCAAAATAGGCCTCTTAAGGTCCATCGGGCCTGCCTTCACTTAGGGCGGCCGACGCTGTTGCAAATAGGGGCCCAGTAGGACTGATCGAGGCCTTGTGCCTCGCACAAAGGAGAAAACTGCTTATTTTTCCTTTTTCTGCTCTGCTTTTCTCGCAGTTCATCTTTCCTTGCCTCTCCTTGCCTCTCTTTGCCTCTCCTTGGTTTTTACTCGTTCCAAAATTATGATTGTGCCGCTCCCATCCTCTTTTTGGCTTTTTCTTCCTGCTTTCCATTTTGATTGTGGCTTCCAGGTGCAAGGTTCACTATGCCTTTTTCTGTCTACTTCCTATCTTGATTGTGCCTCTCAGGTTCTCTTTCTATTTTGATTGTGCCTTCCAGGTGCAATGGTCCCCGTTCTATTTTGATTGTACCTTTCAGGTGCAGGGGTCCCCACTTATGTGTGGACGAGAAGAAAGTGTGACACACTTGCGGGCTGCTTGTACATGCTATGGAGTCAGGTTGAAAGAAGGAAGAGAGGCAAAGGAAGATCAACGTTCTTCACCTGAACAGAACACCCAGTCTTTATAAGTAGCGTGGTTTCCTCCTGTCGACATCTAGTAGGACTACAACATTATTGCAATGACTTGCTGATTTCTACTGCCGAGACTGTCTGCGAGGCTGTACACTAACCGGTAGGGTTAGATTTGTAATTTTGTTTGGCTGAGGGCTAACCGAGAGACCTGCCTGTAAGGAAATTCGTGAGGGACAGATCTGCAAATCTGCGAAAATGCAGGCCCAGTACTAACTCGAATTCCTACAGCTACCCTAACTGCTGATAGCAGGCC